GGGGAAAATTCAAAAAAAAAGCACAATACATGTTTCACAAAATGTATTTTTTGCAAGGGCAATCACTCGGCAACTGAACTGGGTGTAAATTTTAAGGACATATGTTGTCCTGAATTCATTAGACAAAAGCGTATAAAAGAAATTATGGCTAACTACAATCTTTCCTTTTATGAGGCTGCAGAGAAGGTCCCAGGTAACACTTCCTCGGAAAGGTCAAATAATTTTGTGAACTTCTCATTAGCATCATTTCATAGTCTTCCTAAATCTTTATCTAAAGAGATAAGTCCTCTTCAAAATAAAAATCTTAAATTCAGCAAAATTCTTCAAAGAACTCCTCCCAGACCAGTTTAAATAAACAACTATTATGATAATATTATCTTAATCAATTCCAATGGTAGAATTCACGAGTCTCCTAATAAAAAAACTTATTATTTCTCAAGACAACTTTCCTTGTCCCAAGGAAGGAGGACTCTAATTTGATGAGTGAAAATTTTACACAGCTATTTATAGAAATATTTCAGTCTAGGCCATCATTAATTTGTGATTTAGTTAAGAAATTCCTTAAAGTTGATATTCCTGGTCAAGGGGATGTCATACCTCATCTTCAATGGGGGATTAAAAATCATACACTGAAATATACATAGTTTTTTCATCATGACTTATTAAATAATATTAATGTATATAATCCGGATGTAGTTTCGCTTTCAGAAACATGGACAAACAGTTAAAGTCAAAGGGTACAATGTTATATTAAATAATAGAGAGGATGGTAAAGGTGGGTCAGCTTTATTAATTAAACGGAACATTCATTATATACAAAAAACTGTTAATTTAGGGCGATTTAAAAAGGTGCAATTTGTTAATATTCAGATAGATGATATGTATATCGGCTCTATTTATATAGCTCCCTATGCACAAATTAATGACAGAATGTTTGATCAAATTCTTGCATGTCTGGGTCAAAAGTTTAAAGGGGTAGGTCATAGTCCTGCCTGGAAAAGTTACATTACAAACCAAAATGGAAAAATTCTGAAAGATTATATTGATCAGAATTTTTGTTTAAAGATAGAAATCCTACATTTTTAATAGGTTTGGACGTAGTATACTATAGTATAGATCTAGCTCTGTGTTCAAGTAACATAACCTGTTTTGTGGAGGAACAGACCCTTAAAGATACTTTTAGTAGTGATCATTTCCCATTAGTTAGGGAGACTCCCAGGATAGAAATAGGTTTATTCCAACTAAGAAAAAAAATGTAAAGGGGCAAATTGGGAGAGTTTTGTATAAGAGATTGATAAGTCTTCTTATGGTGAATTTATTAGTATTTTAAGGACATCTAGTAATAGGAATATTCCGGTTAGGAAGTTTAGTTTTTCCAAGAACTTCTGTCCTTGGTGGGATAAAGAATGCTCTGGGTGAATTGGTTTAAGGGCATCTGCAGTTAAACAATTTTATAGGGATGGGTTATTGTCATCTTTTATTAAAGCTATGAAAATAATTGCAGAAATTAAAAGAAAGCTAAAAATAAGAAAAAAGAATCCTTTATAAGGTTTGCAGCCAGTTTGAACAGGGATATTGATGTTTCAGAGGTCTGGAGAACTATTAAGGGGTATAACAAATCCTTTTCTAGGGAAAACTCTTTTTGTAATATATATGGCTCGTAGAAACATAAATTTATTGATACTCTTGCTCCCCCATTCTGTGCTAATTCTCTTAGCACTATAAAAAATGGCCAGGTATCTGAGGAATCTGGTATCTCTCCCTAGAAAGATTCTACCCCGGGTATTAATGAGGTTTCTTTTAAACCATTAAAAAAACCGACAAAGTAAAAATGGAGAGTAATAAGAATATTTCCCAGGAGGGTCCGGCCGCAGGCCGGGAATCCCTCCCTGCGAAAGCTGGCTGCCCCATGGACTCTGAGAGGGGCAATACCTCTGTGATTACAGAAACAGCAAATGGAAAGGAAACTACAAAATCAAAATTCCATCCATCCTTTCCAGTTACTAAATAGGAGCGCCTCACTGTCGGGTTGCTCTTTACTTTAAAAAATTTGATACAGCCAATAAATTCCTAAAAACCCTAACTCTTTCACAAACTCACAGTTTTAAGGCATTTATCCCCAGACATTTAATAACTTGTAAGGGGCTAATTAGAAACATTGACGTAGATATTAGTGATGAGGATATACAAAATAACCTCAAAGCGCTGGATAGCACTAAAGAAATTATAGCTATTAGGAGGATTAGGAAAAAGGTCAAGAATAAGGAAGTAGTTTGGTTAATACAGCCCTTGTAGTTTTTACTGCAAGAGGAAAAACGGTCCCTAATAAGGTGGAGTTGTTTAAGTTTGCTATTGATGCAGAGAAGTATGTGGACCCGGTATTACATGTTTTAAATGCCCAATGTATGGGCATACATAAAGTCAATGTAAAGGGGCTACTAGATGCTGTAAGTGTGGGGAAAATTAAAAAAAAGCACAATACATGTTTCACAAAATGTATTTTTTGCAAGGGCAATCACTCGGCAACTGAACTGGGTGTAAATTTTAAGGACATATGTTGTCCTGAATTCATTAGACAAAAGCGTATAAAAGAAATTATGGCTAACTACAATCTTTCCTTTTATGAGGCTGCAGAGAAGGTCCCAGGTAACACTTCCTCGGAAAGGTCAAATAATTTTGTGAACTCCTCATTAGCATCATTTCATAGTCTTCCTAAATCTTTATCTAAAGAGATAAGTCCTCTTCAAAATAAAAATCTTAAATTCACCAAAATTCTTCAAAGAACTCCTCCCAGACCAGTTTAAATAAACAACTATTATGATAATATTATCTTAATCAATTCCAATGGTAGAATTCACGAGTCTCCTAATAAAAAAACTTATTATTTCTCAAGACAACTTCCCTTGCCCCAAGGAAGGAGGACTCTAATTTGATGAGTGAAAATTTTACACAGCTATTTATAGAAATATTTCAGTCTAGGCCATCATTAATTTGTGATTTAGTTAAGAAATTCCTTAAAGTTGATATTCCTGGTCAAGGGGATGTCATACCTCATCTTCAATGGGGGATTAAAAATCATACACTGGAATATACATAGTTTTTTCATCATGACTTATTAAATAATATTAATGTATATAATCCGGATGTGGTTTCGCTTTCAGAAACATGGACAAACAGTTAAAGTCAAAGGGTGCAATGTTATATTAAATAATAGAGGGGATGGTAAAGGTGGGTCAGCTTTATTAATTAAACGGAACATTCATTATATACAAAAAACTGTTAATTTAGGGCGATTTAAAAAGGTGCAATTTGTTAATATTCAGATAGATTATATGTATATCGGCTCTATTTATATAGCTCCCTATGCACAAATTAATGACAGAATGTTTGATCAAATTCTTGCATGTCTGGGTCAAAAGTTTAAAGGGGTAGGTCATAGTCCTGCCTGGAAAAGTTACATTACAAACCAAAATGGAAAAATTCTGAAAGATTATATTGATCAGAATTTTTGTTTAAAGATAGAAATCCTACATTTTTAATAGGTTTGGACGTAGTATACTATAGTATAGATCTAGCTCTGTGTTCAAGTAACATAGCCTGTTTTGTGGAGGAACAGACCCTTAAAGATACTTTTAGTAGTGATCATTTCCCATTAGTTAGGGAGACTCCCAGGATAGAAATAGGTTTATTCCAACTAAGAAAAAAAATGTAAAGGGGCAAATTGGGAGAGTTTTGTATAAGAGATTGATAAGTCTTCTTATGGTGAATTTATTTGTATTTTAAGGACATCTAGTAATAGGAATATTTCGGTTAGGAAGTTTAGTTTTTCCAAGAACTTCTGTCCTTGGTGGGATAAAGAATGCTCTGGGTGAATTGGTTTAAGGGCATCTGCAGTTAAACAATTTTATAGGGATGGGTTATTGTCATCTTTTATTAAAGCTATGAAAATAATTGCAGAAATTAAAAGAAAGCTAAAAATAAGAAAAAAGAATCCTTTATAAGGTTTGCAGCCAGTTTGAACAGGGATATTTATGTTTCAGAGGTCTGGAGAACTATTAAGGGGTATAACAAATCCTTTTCTAGGGAAAACTCTTTTTGTAATATATATGGCTCGTAGAAACATAAATTTATTGATACTCTTGCTCCCCCATTCTGTGCTAATTCTCTTAGCACTATAAAAAATGGCCAGGTATCTGAGGAATCTGGTATCTCTCCCTAGAAAGATTCTACCCCGGGTATTGATGAGGTTTCTTTTAAACCATTAAAAAAACCGACAAAGTAAAAATTGAGAGTAATAAGAATATTTCCCAGAAGGGTCCGGCCGCAGGCCGGGAATCCCTCCCTGCGAAAGCTGGCTGCCCCATGGACTCTGAGAGGGGCAATACCTCTGTGATTACAGAAACAGCAAATGGAAAGAAAACTACAAAATCAAAATTCCATCCATCCTTTCCAGTTACTAAATAGAAGCGCCTCACTGTCGGACCTAGACCTCGCATGGGACGAGGAAGCCAAAGCATCAATCTCAAAAACAGAGTTTGAAAAAAAAGAAAGAGAAAGAAAAAACTCAATAATTTTCGCATTTAGGTCCCAAGACACGCAGAAAGCTATTTAGCAAACGAACTAGAGGATAAGAAAAGAAAGAGGGACTTCCAAGGGGGAGAAAACATATTGAAAAAGAATAAATGCCCGATAGCCATGGAATTAATTAAAACTCTCAAGGCCATAGAAGAGTTCACAAAAGCTCTAAACAAGGAAGTCGGAGAAAATAATAATACTAAAACGGAAATAAAAAAATGGCGAAAAAAGTAAGGAGAAAAACTGATAATCTGCAAAGGGATACAATAAAAGAATGGCTCGACCAACGAAAATACGTACCAGTACCTACACCGACATACCAAGTAGACACACAGACGGAGGAAATGGAAAAAGACCTCTACACAAACACGGAAGTGAAGGTAGGAAACCCCCTAGACACAAGCAGCCACACCGTCAAGGTTGTTATGGTAGAACCAACAGAAAAGGAAATGGCCAAAAGCATACAATGCCTCTACAAAGAGAGATACCCGGAACTCATAGAGTGCACGGAAGACTACGAGACCTTGGAACGAAATTGCACGATCAAATCGCAAAACAAAACAATCACAAGTAGGATAATCAAAATATTACACGTAGGGATGGAAGAAGAAATATGGAAGAAACTACAAAGACTTAAAGAGGTTGTAAAAGGGTAGCATTACATCATGTGGAATGTATGTCTGTACAGAGACTCAGAAAGATGGCAGAAGGTATCTTCCATGTCTCCGGGACCAAGGTAATGTTATATACTACAAAAAACAGAGAGGGCAACAAACAACAAAAGCCGAAGGATTAAAGAACATACGCTCTAGTTATCGAAGATAAGGGGAAAGCATACGCAGACACGCTAAAAATTGTTAAAACAGCCTTAAAAGGGAAATAACTAGAAGGGATACAAAACATCCGCAGTAAGAAGGATGGCAGACTCATCATCACTATGGACAAAGATGAGGAAAAACTAGACAAAGTCCACAAAGCCATACAAAAAGGAAACATACTCGATAGTGGGAAAGTAACAAAATATGGAAATAAAAGGGAAACAGAAGCCATCCACATACGAGGTATAGATGCAGACACATGGAAGGGATAAAAGCACACATAAGTGAGGCAGCTATAAGTAACCTAAGCGGACTCAGACCGGCCGCAAATAACACGCAGGCAATCACCGTAATCATATAAAACAATGAAGCTGGCAGACTAGCTGAAAAACGAAATATTAAAATTGGTCTAGTTAACTGCCGAGTGGAGGCAAGAATAAAGCTGAGTAGATGCAGGAAATGCTGGGCATACAACCACCCTGAACAGCAATGTAGATGCGGTCGTGACGCACAAATAAGTGCCTAAAATGCGGCAAAGAAGAGCATGTAGCAAAAAACTGCCAAGAAGAGGACCACTGCCCAATGTGCAACATTCCAGGATACAGAGCCGGGAGCGCAACATGCCCAATCTTTCGTGGGTCCCTATCACACGCAAGGAAGGAAATAGAAAGCGGAACTAGAGGCGGAAAAGCCACAGTGGGAAAAAACAATCAAAGAACTTAAAATCCTACAAATAAACCTAAACCGATGCAAAACAGCACATGACCTGCTTCTCAAATACATTGAGACAGAACACATAGACGTGGTGATAGGCCAAGAGCCAAACAAAAAACTAACAAATAGCTTTAAATGTGATATTAACTGTGATTGCTTTATATACGTAAAAAAAACAAACTGTGATAAAATTTGTGATATACGAAGGGATTGTATGTATCGAGTACGAAAATCTTACCATCTGCTCATGCTACTTCTCCCCAAATGGGGACATACAAGACTACAGTCTGCTGATGAGCAGACTTGAAAAAATAGCTCAGAGCAAGTCAACCATCATTGGAGGGGACCTGAATGCGAAAACCTACATAATCGGCTCAAATACGGAAAACCCAAGAGGCATAATACTTAAAGAGCTGGTAAATGCATGCAGCATGGTGGTCCTAAACACCGGAAACACACCTACCTTCGCAAGCGCACAGGGTACGTCAATTATTGATTTCACCCTGGCATCCGAGGATCTAAGCAGACACACCCGAAACTGGAGAGTCCTAAAGGAAGTAGAAAACCTGAGGAAACCGAAGCAAAGTTCACAGGCTGGAAAATCACCCCGCAGAGTATGGAAGAATTTAAACAGGGAGTAAAAGATATGTTTATAGGGACCACCAACAACAATCCCCAGGAAATCATCGCCAAAACAATGGGAATGTGTAATATTCATTTTAAAAAAACCTCCTACGGAGGTAAAAAACTACCAGTGTACTGGTGGAACCAGGAAATTGCAACCAAAAGGAAAGAATGTCACAGGGCAAGAAGAAACTATACTAAGGCAAAAATAACTTTAAAGGTCCACTCGGTCGAAGAGTGTAAGGCGGTGCTGCAAAATACAAAAAGGAAGCTAAAGAAACTTATAAATAAAAGCAAAAGGGAAAAGTGGAAAGATCTCTGTAACGACCTTGACACGGATATATGGGACAAGGCGTATCAAATAGTCACTAAGAAACTGAAGCTCAGGAAACGAAACCTCATAAGCGAGGAGACTACAACACTACATAAACTATTCCCCAAAGCGCCCAAGAAGAAATGGATTAGGGAGACCACCAATAAGGACAACATGCCTCTTTTTAGCATTGAGGAGTTGGAAACGGCAAGGAAACAAATTAAAACAAAAAAAGCCCCAGGCCCTGATGGGGTGCTGCCTGACATAATGGTGGAGATGGTCAAAGCCAACGACAAAGCCGTACTAGATAACTTCAACGACTGTCTGGTAAATGGCAAATTCCCAGAAATATGGAAAACAGCGAAACTGGTACTGGTCGAGAAACCCAGAAAAACAGTAACTGCGCAGGAATCTTACAGGCCCATATGTCTTATAAATAGCTTTGGAAAACTGCTGGAAATCATGATCAAAAATAGACTGACCAACGAAATAGAAGACAAAAACCTGGTACAGCCTAATCAGTTCGGCTTTACAAAGGGCAAATCTACGATAAATGCAATACAGGAAGTAATAAAGGTCAGAGACAGTATAAAATCCAAAGCCCTAAAAAATCAGGAATATTGTATCATGGTACTCCTAGATATTGAAAATGCCTTCAACTCGGCACCATGGGTAGGAATTATAGAGGCACTGCAAACAGGCAAAGTTAGGGGATATCTGACAAACAAGATAATGTGGTACCTCGAGGATAAAGGCCTAATAACACAAAGAGGAGACAGACATGAGGTGACCTGCGGCGTACCACAGGGCTCAGTCCTAGGACCCGCCCTGTGGAATATTTTCTACGACATGTTGCTACGGACGGAGATGGAGCAAGGTGTGCAGCTGATAGCGTATGCGGACGATCTGGCCATAATAACTATAGCGGCAAATCAAACAATTTAGCAAGACAAAGCCCAACACGCCATGAATAAAATAATAGACACCCTTAAGGAAATGGGTATCAAAGTAGCGGCACACAAAACAGAAACACTTCTAGTGGAAGGAAGGAGAAAAGTGCAACAGTATAACCCAGAATCTCTCTTACAGGAACCCTGAGCCACAAAATCCCGCTAGCTCAGATGGTCGTGGGTGAATGTTCTTCGTAACTACTACTTACCTTCGAATTTACAAAAAAAATTGGGCACCAAGTAATTTTTTTTTGTGGGACAAGAATAAAAGAAATTACTAAAAAAATGTAAGTGTATTTTACACAAGTTGTTATAAACCCTTAAGTCAGATCTCGTACAGTTAGTTAAAGTTATTTAATATACTCTGGTATTACAAGGATTCTAATCACCCCTCGTATATATTGGCCAATTACACGCGGTTTAAACTAATCAAAAAAAAATGTTGTATATTAAAAGTTTTCAATATTTGATATTAAATCTACCAGTACTTAAACAGTGGTTTGTTAACAAAATGGATCTGACCTTAGTTCTGCACTACGTATATATGTACGTTAAATAAATTCTTTCAATCAGGATTGTACGTCAGTCAATGTCAATATGATCCATCCCTGTATGGTAACCAATATTCCAGGTGACACAGAAGGTGTGACTTGAATTTGTTTATAACAAGAAAAACTGATCTCTGTACTTGAGATTAAACTTGGGTTCTACACCCGGAATTAAAACCATAATTAAAAATAAAAAAAAACCCTAAAAGAAAAATTTATGACAATTTGCCCTTCAAAAAAATATATAAACATACCTTCGTAAAGGGTTTTATGTTCTTGGATGGTAAGTCGCAAGAAACTGATGGATGGATGGATGGAATCCAAGATGGTTGGAAAGTGGTTGGACTGGTGAAAATTATATCCAAATAAATCCGGCATAATGCCGTGAGAATCCGCACTCAAAACACTATGGATAACAATATACCATCACCTTTAACAAGGATTTACTTCACAAAGTAAAAATACGAGCATGTCACTCATAGGACAATTTCCACCAGACTGACATATCCGCTTTCGCTACTCTAACACATGCGCATATGTGCCAAAAACCACCACAACTATGAAAACGGCTTTGAATACCGAACTAAACCATCCACAATTACAAAACAAATATTAGAAAATCAAAAGTAATGGAATTACTTAATATAAAACAATTAACAACGACAAAAAGGCCTAACAAAAGTTCCTAATTTAAAACTTGATTCGATAATTTGACCAATAAGAAGCAATGCAGGAAGTGCAGTGTTCTCAACTGGAGCCTTGCACCGTTTCAAACAAACCTGCGTTTAGCGTCAAGTAAACACTACATTATTCGCAACCTCGCGATAATCGCTCCAGTTGATTGGTTACACTGTCTGTCAGAAAACAACTAACCTCATTTTGATGTTTCGCTCACATAATAAAAATCCTTGGTAAGTAACTTGAATAAATACTAAAGCTAAACAAATAATATTCAAGATCGGATTTTTATTTTAGGATAACTTAGCTGAATGGACTACCAATAATGTGAGAACATAAGCTACATTGCTATAAAATACATTGTATTGTTGTTGCTGACCAACAAAGTCTTATAAATTAGCAATGGTTTTTATTTGTCAAAGTAATATGATATTATAAGTCAAACACAAAAACAAGGCAAACTATCATGAAATTTCTTTAAAAAACTACGATTACAGTGCTTAACACTGAACGGTACTATACATTATACACTGTATAACAAAAAGGTTAAAGCACAATTTCTTGTAAAACAAAAATGGGGTAAAGCACAATTTATTGTGAAATAAAAATGTAAGTATTAAAATCCAAACCGTAAGGTTACAACAGGTCGCCATACAAGTTGAGCAAAACACCATCAACACCAGCACCTCCGTCCGATATCTAGGGGTGTTTCTGGACAAGGACCTACGTAAGGTAGAACACATACGCAGGATTACGGCTAAGGCAACAGAACTGACTAATCTGCTCAGCAGAATCATGCCAAGTATAGGGGGCCCGAAGGCAAACAAAAGAAAAATAATTAAAAGCGCGGTACTATCGGCTGTGCTATACGCAGCTCCGATATGGGAGCCCGCCCTAAGACACAAGAAGTACCTTAACAAACTCGAAAGCATAAACAGGAAATTACCAATCAGAGTAATATTAGCATATAGAACGACATCCACCCAGGCTGCCCTGGCCATTGCTGGAACTCCGCCCATAAGGTCTGGCAGTCAAAGAAAGGCGCCACATATATAGAGAAGGACCCACTGCCGCAACAGCGGCCCGCGAAACAACGTCCGAGGAATGGCAGACAATGTGGAACCGGTACAACGGCTGGGCGGGGATCTTCATTAAGGACATAAAAAGGTGGACAACCAGAAAATGGGGTAATGTAAACTACTACATTTTGCAGGCCATGACGGGACATGGAGTTTTCGGTAGCTCCGTGCTCGGGAATGTAAACAGGAAACTCGCAATAAACATCACGGCCGCATACAGAACGACATCCACGGAGTCAGCACAGGCAATGGCGAGTCTCCCCCGCTGGACATTCTGGTGGAGGAGAGGATTTATGTAAGGGAAAACGGACCGGAATCCAAGAAGGAAGCCAGAGAGAGGACCCTCAGTAAGTGGCAGTATAGGTGGAGAAGGTATGAAGGATGGGCAAAGATCTTCATCAAGTACGTGACGGTATGGTACGGTAGGATATGGGGGGATAATAATAATAATAATAAGCCAGAGAGAGGACCCTCAGTAAGTGGCAGGATAGGTGGAGAAGGTATGAAGGATGGGCAAAGATCTTCATCAAGTACGTGACGGTATGGTACGGCAGGAAATGGGGGGATAATAATAATAATAATAATAAGCTTTATTTATGTTATATACAAAGTAGTATTTGCACAGGTCAAAAACAGGTCAGAAATATAATTAAATATTTACAAAATAGATTGGCAAACTTAATAAAAATTAGTATAGAACTGGAATAGAAACCGATAAAACTTATAACTAGGTGATATTAAAATTAAAATTTAAAAATTCATCAATTGTATAAAAGGAATTTTGAATTAAAATTTCCTTAATTATACTTTTAAAATTTTTGGCCGGATAATTCCTTATATTAAGTGGAAGATTGTTAAAAAACTTAATTTCCAAGAAGTTTGTTCCTGTTTGACTTTTTTTCAGTCTATAATATGGCAGTGCTACATTATTTTTATTTCTTGTGTGGTAGCTATGGGTACCCGACATCGTAATGTAATCCTTTTCGTTATTTTTTATATATAGCAGGGTCTCTAATATAAAAACTGATGGTAAAGTTAATATTTTTAAGTTTTTAAAAGCTGTTTTACATTCTGCTCGATATGGTAGTCCTGCTAGTATCCTTACTGCTCTTCTTTGAAGCGCAAATGCACTATCAGCATGCGGGGAGTGTCCCCATATTAATATGGCGTAAGTAAGAACCGAGTGAATAAGAGCAAAGTAAGCATTTTTTAGGACATTCATAAACACAGAATCATATAGTAGGAGGTCGACCATTACTCCACATAAGCAATAACGGGACATGGATCCTTTGCCACCTACCTTTTTAAATCAAAAAAAAAGAAAATACTAAATGTGCCTACTGCATAGAGAAGGTCGACCCAAACCACACAATTTTTCAGTGCGAGTACTTTATGGAACAGAGAAGGACAGTGGCAGAGAGGTGTAGGGTGGAAAGAATTAGTAAGGAAAATGTTGGGGAGCTTCTTTTAAGATCGGAAGAGGATTGGAGCGTAATCATCGGATTTTTAAGAGACATCATGTTAAAGAAATGCTCAGAGGAGTAAAAAATCTTTCCTACCGAGACGTAATGCTGAAGAGGCGGTTCCACGGTGGTATGGGAGAACAAAGGGGAGGGGTTAGCCGGTAGAAGTCCGGCACTACCTGGCTCGATAGAACAACATAGACATGTGTCCATGAGGATTCCCCCCCAAAAAGGTTAGGTTAGGTTCATTCAAACCCATATATGACGCGGACTCACAAACCGTAGGTAACACCACCAAAGACATGGCAACACAAACCCAGACAACCGAAGCAATAAGCACGAAGAATAGGGAAGTCGAGGTATGCGACATTGAAGACTGCAATAACTTCTCGAATTGGGAACAAAAAGCTTGCAGAGACTGGACAGACACTGTCTTTACAAATACGACGTGCAAAGAAGGTAACCCTTTGGAAACCAAAGACCAAGCAATGAAGGTAGTGTGGATTGGCCCTAACGATAAGCAAATGGAAAAAGGAACCCAAAAATCATATAAATTCCCAGAGCTGCTAACAGACATCATGGAAGACTTTGGCATCCTAGAAATGGAAAGTAAAATTAAAACAGCCAAGTTTGGCCAAACGACCAAACGAAAGATAGCCAAAATAACACATAAGGAAAATGAAGAAGACATATACGGAAAACTGGTAATACTCAAAAACAGAATGCGGAGAAGAAGAAAATATCGCTCTACACAAACCGGAAAAAATGCCACTAGAAAGATTCAAAAAAATGACGGAAGCAATATTCCACGACTGCACGACACAATGATCTATATAAAAGAAGGCGACAAGGAGGAAATAAATCCAAAACAAACAACAGAGGCATAGAGAACGCAGAAAAGAAAAACAAAAAAGAGCATCCTAATCAAGCGTAACGACCCAAGTATGCAGTATAACGAAATACTCAAAAAAATGAGACAAAAAGTCGACATAGACGAGAAGAACTAACAGATGAGGCACAAATAGAAGAGAAGCAACCGGTCTTCAATATATTCCTTAATAACCTGGCACCAGGAACAACGGAAGAGGAAATTGTAGACGAGTTAAGAAGGAAGACGAGAAGCCACAGCAGTCAAGGCTAAAACCCCCCACGAAACTAAAAGGGAAAATATAGTAGCTACAGCCGCAGTTCCAAGAGAGCTGGCCCAACCCCTTCCAAATATGGGCAAAATAAAAATAGGGTGGTAAAGGTGCACCATCGAAGAAAACATTACAATCCCTAGATGTTATAAATGGATGGGAATAGTGCAAGGGAAAGACGAATGCGAACAGAAAGAAAACGTGTCTAAAATGCGCGCAGGAAGGTCATTTCGTAAAAGACTGTACAAGCCAGGAGAAGTGCCTAACGTGAAATAAGGAAGGCCACAGAGCCGACTCTTCCAAATGCCCAAACTACAGGACGGCCCTCCGGGAGACTAGAAAGGCAGCTAGGGAGAGGACAAGAAGGACTAAGGGAGGACAGACTCCCTCCCCAAGATAAGGTTTCTGCAAACCAACACAAATAGAAGTAGAGAGGCAATGGACCTCCTCCTTCACAACGCCATGGAAAAAAACTATGATATTATCATCGTATCAGAGCCTAATAAAAAAAAGGTTGAAGTAGGAGGTTGGATCTGCGACAACCTAAAAAACGTGGCTATCAAATGCCTCAATAAAGAACTTAAATGTGCGCAAACTGGCAAAGGAAATGGGTACGTCTGGATCCAGATCGACAATATGGTAATATTTGGATGCTACATCTCCCCCAACATCGTGATCGAGGAATTCCATAACTTCATAAACACTCTACAATGCGCGTACAGGCAAAAGAACCGCAACACAGAGGCCCTGATTGGAGGAGACTTCAATGCCAAATCTGCATTGTGGGGTTCATCACTGGATGACACCAGGGGAACAGCCCTAGCAGAGTGGTTTGTGAAGACCTGCATATTTTGAACACCGGCGGTACACCTACCTTTGCGAAAGGACGGCAACAATCATATATAGATGTGTGCTCAGAAAACCTCGTAAGGAAAGTAAACACGTGGGAGGTCCTGGAGGAAGAAAGCCTAAGTGACCACAGATATATTGCTTATAAAATACAAATCACCACAATAAAACAGCCAAGGCCTCACTTTTGCCGATGGCACGTAAAACTTGAGCAACGTGAGGAGTTTATCTGGAAACTCAAAACGGCGGTATCTAAGCGGAATACTACCGGCGCAGCAAAATGGGACGAGGCCATGAAGGAGGCATGCGACAGGACCTTCAGAAGGAGAGGAACGGGCAGAGGGTTTAAGGGACCAGTGTACTGGTGGTCGCAGGAGATTGCAGAACAATAGAAGGCACTACACGACTCAACCCATGGAATGGACCGACTACAAAACGGCAAAAAAGGACCTTAGAAAAAATTCTTCACCCTTTGAACCTGGCGGATGAAGAGCAGGCCAACATTGCGAGGGGCTTATTCCCGGAGGTAGCAGACAGCCAAAACAGAAACGTGCAGGCAGAGGGGTGCAACTTTGTGTAATTCACTACCGAGGAGCTAAGAAACGCCGCCAAAAGATTAAAATCAGGCAAAGCAACAGGCATAGATGGCATACTCACTGAGGTGGAAAAAATCGTAGCCAACAAGTTCCCCGAACTCCTGTTGAGACTGCTCAACACACTGGGAGTAAAGGGATCATTCCCGCATACATGGAAGGTGGCAAAGCTAGTATTGATAGCCAAGAAAAATAAAGGGGGGAGAAGAACCCACCAAATACAGGCCCATATGCTTATTGAACATATGGGGAAAACTCTACGAACACATTATCCTAGCCCATCTCAATAAAGAGATAAAAGATAAGAACTGCCTGTCAGAGATGCAATTCAGGTTCAGGGAAGGAATATTGACCATCAATGCTCTATCTAAATCGCACATAAAGAAAGGGAAAAGGCATACCAACACCGGCAAATCTGCGCGTTAATCACCCTAGATGTTCAAAATGCATTTAATAGCGCATCTTGGTCCGGAATAATAAAGACCCTACAAAAATTGGAAATATCCCCATAACAGCGGAGTAGAGATGGCCGAAGGTAAGCGGGGGTACAGAAGGGTTACAATCATGCAGTCGAACCAAAACCGAAGCCGAGCGGCCTGGGATCTGGCCCTACAAACGGCCGAGCAGAAGAAGGCGGACGTGCTGGTGGTAGGGGAGCCAAATCACGCTAGGGCAGAAGGAATGTGAGCAGTAATGGACGAACGAAAGAACGTGGCCATAATAGCTCTGGGAGGAGGCGGACTTAAAGAGATTAAGAAGGCCCGTTGTGGGAACATCACTATCCTGGCAGGGTACTCATCGCTCAATATCCCTATAGAGGAGTTCGAGGCCTTTCTCGACCGTTTGAAAGCCATGACTAGACCCACACCAGCGGAGCTCATCGTGTGCGGGGACTTCAATGCAAAGTCCCCTCTATGGGGAGGTGCGAAGGAAGACGCACTGGCGGCACTGGACCTTATCGTAGCCAACGACGGGGCCACAGCGACCTTTGCGAGAGGTGCCCAAGAGTCTTTCCTGGACGTGACGGCGATGTCACCGGCCCTCTACGGTAGGGGGTAGAGTGGTATGTGTCGGAAGAGGAGAACCTTAGCGACCATAGGGACATTCTTTTCACGATTGCGGGGAGGACCCAGGAGGCTCGGATAGGGCAAAGATAGAAGCGGTGGTCAAGGAGAGGGAGGCGAGGTCGGAGGGCATGAGTGCATGCCCTGCGTGGATGGATTCCATCGCGGAGGCCTGTAGGCAGGCGCTTAAGCCCGCGCCCACGAGCAGACGCCGAAAATCTAAGTACTGGTGGACGACGGACATCTAAACCGCCAGGACTGAGAGCGGCAGGGCGCGCAGGGCAGTGACCAGAGACAGGAGGAGAAACACGGGAGCAGAGCAGTTGGAGGAGCTGAACGCGGGGTTGAAGGCAGCTAGGAAGAAGCTGAAGGTCGCAATCCTCCGCTCAAAAGCTGATGGCTGGCGGAGGCTGCTTGATGAGGTCGACAACCACGTCTGGGAAAATGCGTACCAGATAGTCACGCGGAGGATGGGCCAGGCCAGGACCTTGCCCATGCTGCAGGAAAAGAGACTAAAGTGGGCCAGAAAGTTCTTCCCGGAAGGTGGGTTCATGGACTGGACCGGGCTGGAAGAGGTTGCTGAGGGACCGGCAGTAACGGAGGAGGAAGCGATGGCGGCGGCCCTTAAGCTGGCGGCTGGAAAGGCCCCAGGACCGGATGCACCCAAAATGGTGTACAATGAGGAATCCCAAACTGAAAATGCCAATAACAAATAACTATTACTGTGATAAAAACCGCGACTGCTTTATAGAAGTAAACAGCAACATACCTGTGATAAGTAGCACAAGTTATATTTAAAAAAAAAGGTGATTGAACTTTACCTGTGTTTAATAACGTTGAGTTTTAATTTTATCAAATGTAAAATGGGTTTGGTGCGTTTGTCCAAATTTGTAAATACAAGGGTTAATATACCGAAGATAGCTATCTGTGGTTCACAAAGAACTTTTATGATAATATTTGTAAAAAAAACGCAACCCGGTTAAGCGGCTCTTATGTCCGACACAAAATAATTAAACAAAATGGTACTTAAGGTTCTATTCCTTGTTCAGTTCATGCAGCGGTGGCATCTGTGTAGTAAAATGTTGTTGTCGACAAGCGGTGGTAAAATGTTGTTGATGGTTCAAATTGGGGGTGTGGCGTCAGGCCAAGGTATCGAAGAAATTTGTCCGGTATAAGATACAATCTTAAGGAAAAAATCCTAAGGTAGAATCCTAAGGTAGAAGCCCTAAAAGAGAAAAAATCCTGGGTATTGTTTCAAACAAAACCTCCTTGTACTTTCTTAGACAAAACGTCATTCCTGTCATCGCGCAGGAGAGGGATAGAAGTGTCAAATCTGGGTATAATCGTCAAAATCGGTAATATACTTATTCAGGCATAGGTGTGTCGTTCCAGGACTGCATGGAAAAATAAACGATCAACAATAAAGACCGATGACTTAGATAAAGTTGGAAAACTCACCAGGTTTAAAGGTTAATGGTCGCCATGCCAATGTGCTTTCGCAGAGATCGTAAAACTAAAGGCTTCAAGAGTTCGCGCCAACGTTGAACTCATCGACGTACTTTTCTAGATCCTTTTACACAAAATGATTTGCATTTGCAGTGGATTTTCAACACAGAAACTTTAACTTTAAAACTGCTTCAAAACGACACACCGCCTCCATTGACATTCGCAAGAAGAAGGAAGAGGCCGGAAATACGTAATCAGGATATGAAACTTTAAAGGATCGCGCATACGCAAAACAAATACCAACTTAAGAAAAAGGAAATCGATAATGATCTACTAACCACCACAACCGCTAAACATCAACTTAAAACAAAAAGAAACCTAAACAAAACATAATTATCATGACAAAAGAAAAATAAACGTCGACATAGCGAAATAAACTTTTCCGAGGGGAAAGCGCCATCTATGCTTGAATAGCCAAAGTCTTTCAAAGCCAATTCGAATTTGACATTTAAAAACAAACGAAACAAATTATATTTAATGATTATAAACAAAAGAAAAAGGTCTGTAATAAGGAAACCAAAGACTAACGACTATAACAAACAAATCTGTTAATCCGAAATAGAAAAGTAAGTAATAATAGTTAAATTTTTTAGTGAGGTTAAACTTGAAAATGTAAGCAAAAATTAAAGAAATACAAAGGACTCGAGAAACGAACAACGTCTGCCAACAAAGAGTTCACACCTGCAGAATGTAAACATCACATCAACAAACTCAAATCACTTGACGCAAAATAGTA